TATACTATTTTTTTGCAATACTGCAAAAAGCAATACWGCCTTTTCACACCAATCAAGTCTATTTTTTTTTTTAAATATCACATTACATATCTTTTCCATCTAAATTCATTATTTAATACCCAGTTTTTTTTGAATTCTTTGAATTTTGGATTATAAGTATTGTTTGAATAAGGTATATTTTTTTTTTTCAGCAAAGACAACAAGAGCAACTTCTACTGCCATTTTGCTCTACCACTCCCTAAGCAAGTTGTAGTCTTTGCTGTGGGGGAGTGGGAGAGGTTGGGATYGAGCATTACGTTTTTTTTGTCTCTGGACTCGGAACATCCACCCAAGAAAATTGGCACACTATCTAAAGAAACCAGGGCACTTTGTTGGSAAAGCGATTGGGGAAAAACATTCACAGAGAGAAGTATTTTTTTTGAAGATGAGGTTAGTCAAATATTAGAATAAGTAATGTAGAAATCTCCAAAAAGCTTTCTGTTAAGGTCAACAACTGAAGTCTCTGCAGTCACTTAAAGTAAAACCCATATTTTTTTTTTCCAGTGTGATGTTTGGGGAAATCCATTTTTTCTCAAGTTTTGATTTGATTTTTTTTATTTATAATGTGCTTGTTTCCAAAATCAATGCAGACAATAATGGCCCACATTTTTTTCTGTGTTTTCTCATTTTTCTTGGCTTGATTTGTGAAAGTTGTAAGTGGTTATTTTTTTGAAAATATGAAGCATTATCATTAAACTTGAAGAACAGCAATGTTGTGAGACTTTTTTTGCTGGCTATTTCATATTTCTTGGCCTTTTGTTCAATATATGGCAAAAACAGTTTTTTTGCATAAACCAGTGATAATTAAATTACATCTATTCTCCCAATGAATCTTTTATTTTTTTGGATGGCAAAACTTGTCCTCAGTGTTGACTCAAGCAAGAAAGATAACAAAGTTTTTTTAAAAACAACAAGGTCACCATTTTCTTCAACTCAGAACAAGAAAAAAGAAGTACAACAAAGTCTAAAATCATGTATTAAAAAACAAAGTAAAAACAAATGTGAAAAAGATTTTTTTTCTCCCAAAAGTAGTAATAATAGCAATGTAGATGACTTGTGGAGCATAGAGATTTTTTTCAGTCCTCAGTTTGTACAGGGAACCCCAGTTGCTCCACCACCTCTGAGTGATTTTTTTAGAAAAAGAACTCCTAGATCTTCAACTGTGTAAGTAGTGATGTGAGATACTCGCCATCAAGATCATAATTGATAAATGTGACATCTTGTTTTCTCTCTAACGCAGCATTTTTTTTTAATAATATTATATTATTTAATTTAATAAATACTGTTAATCATTGTGCTTTTTTTTTTTAATTTTAATTAATGGTACATGGTGTATCATTAGTGCTAATGGAATTAGTGTTTTTTTTATAATTCACTATAGACCATCAGGTAAAAGACGAAAAGCCCTTCACAACTCATTTTTTTGTAAAGTTGAATCACCAAAAAGTAGCCCAAAGAATAACAACTTGTCAAGTCTTTTTTTAACTCCAAGTACACCTTATTCTCCATGTGTGAAGAGAGAAGGTTTGTACCATTTTTTTTCCTCAACAATACAGTCTGTTAATGTGTTATTTGGACTACTGAATTTAGTTTTTTTTTCTTAATATATTCCTAATAATGCAGTGGAAATGAATAATCATATTCATACCATTTTTTTTTGTACATGCAAGTTATATTAGGGATAAGAATCTGTCCCTATTCCTTTTGTTTTTTTTAGAAAATGATAATAAATCCAACCTTCGAGTAGAAACATTTGAGTTCCACAATTTTTTTCCTGAATGCAGGTGGATACAAAAACAATATTATTTAATATTCAGATCAGATTTTTTTTACTATGAGCTGTTACGTTTTTCAGAAACACATAGCTGACAAGTGTTTTCTTTTTTTTTTTTGTAGATTTAATTATAATTGTATTTTTCAGTCCCATCAGGCCGCTGGGGTTTTTTTATGTGCTCCATTGATGACAGCAAGACAGTTATGATTGGTGGACAAGGTGCCAAGCAACAAATGGTTAAAGACTCACTCTGGGTCGTGTCTACAAAATCAGGTAAATTTACATAAATTTATATAATATGTGCACTGTCATTCAGCTGAAGTCAGGTGTGAGTCCTACATTTTTTTAAGCCCACACAGTGGTGATATGAAAGTATTGAATGAATTATAATATGTTTTTTTTTTTTGAATTGTTGGTTATGTGATTAAAATATTCTGTATTCTCTCAGGAGAGGCATTTTTTTCCCAGCCTTCWTCAACTGGAAGTACAGGAGCAGACAGGAGAATGGGCCATTTTTTTTTCTATGATCCTGAATCRAAGGTHATCTTTGTTTATGGTGGCTCAAAAAATAATTTTTTTTTTAGTGATGTTCATAAACTGGATACAAAAACATGGACATGGTCAGCCATCTTTTTTTATACATGACTTTAGTAAAAGTTTAAAGATTTGGTATCGGTCAAGATTTACGTTTTTTTCATATTTCATTTTGATAAAGTCAGCAAAATGCCAGGAATTACATGTCAGACTTTTTTTTGTAGTTGCATTTCTCAATTAAGCTCGATGCACACGATAGGAAAGTGCATATTTTTTTTTCCACGTGAGTTGCTTTGAGCAGCGTGTCATGGTAAGCAAAATGCTGACATTTTTTTTATGCACTTTCCTATCGTGTTTTTGTGCTTTATCCAGCCCCAATTCTGAGCTTTTTTTTTACTGCACCAACAGTGGTGTGGCTTGCATGCCCCTTTGTCCCCTAGAGCTTTTTTTTCTCGTCACCCATGCCAAACAGGCTGAAGGGTAGGAGCCTGAAAAAGAGCAATTTTTTTGTCCTCCAGGTTGGGTGATTGGTGTTGGGCTAGCAACTCAACTCTGTAAAATTTTTTTTGTTACGGAAACTAAGTCATGCAACTGCGTAGAAACTAATACTGAAGTACTTTTTTTTAACCTGATGAATTCTAAGCATAACTCTTTTAAAAACTTTATATTATAACTTTTTTTTTTTATATTGAATAGACTAATATTCATGATAAATATTTGTTATCTCAGACAGTTTTTTTTATATTATAACTTATGATTGTTATATTGAATAGACTAATATTCATGATAAATTTTTTTTATCTCAGACAGTTGGTAAAGCGCCAACCAGGGCCTATCACAGTTGTAATCTTTTTTTTGGTGAATTATGGGTGTTTGGTGGGGTGTATCCCAACCCTGACCCACAGCCTTTTTTTTGCAGTAATGACATGTATGTCATGAGTTTAGAAGCCAAAAACTGGTACACGCTTTTTTTTAGTTCTTTGAAGCCATTACCACGATCTGGGTAGGTAGTCATGGTAACATGTTTTTTTATTATACATTATTGAAGTATTACACAGTAGACATTTCTATTGATATTAATGTTTTTTTATGCAAAGAGCAACGTATGAAAAAAAATGACCTCAAGGATCCACTTGTTTGTTTTTTTAATTGTGCCAAGTCCTAATCCACTTGTAGATTAAATCAAAAGATATCTCAATTTTTTTTAACTTTTTAAAAATATACACAATGTTTGTCTTCTTCCTTTTGTCAGGCTTTTTTTTTCTCCCAAACGTTCGAGTTGAAACGTTCCTCCCTTTTTTGGGAGGGACAGGATTTTTTTCAAAAGGGTAGGCTGCCAAGGAGACAAACACTATCTAAGATAGTTAAAATTTTTTTTTGGATAGTTTGTCATGCCTTTCTTGCAACTGGCCAACCCAATTTAAAAAGAATTTTTTTCTTTAAAATGGATTGAGTTATTCTTATGTTGTTGTAAAGTGTACACCTGAATATTATATTGATAATTCAAAACCAGGCATCCAATAAAATGTTTCACTTTTTCAGTGATAAATAATTTTTATATATAATTGGTGTTTATGGTTTCAGACATACTGCTTGCTTGGTAGATGACCGACTAGTGATGTTTGGTGGATGGGATGCTCCAACCTGTTTTAATGATCTTTTCTTTTTTGACCTCAGTAAGTGTATTTCTTGTTATGTAACTAAATTAAGTTTAAGTGAATTTTTTTATATTGTCCTCTTACCTTCTAGCAATCATGGAGTACACTCAACCATCAACAACTGGGACACACCCATCACCTCGTAGCTGGCACACTGCWGTAACTTTACCTGGAAAACTTTTTTTAATACATGGTGGATATAATGGCATTAAGACTTTGTCAGAYGCTTTTATGTTTTTTTTTGGTGAGTGCATGCATGTCTTTAATAATTTATTGGTAGCAATAATAAATGCATTTTTTTGGGGTAGTAACTGGCAATTAGACTAATTTTCTGTTTGGTTATAGCTACACTTTTTTTTTGATGTAGGACGTGTAGTATGATTGTCCAGATGCAAGAAGTCTTGAGAAAGTTTTTTTTATAGTTATAGTATCTGACGTTTCAAACCAGTGACTCTCACTGTTATTTTAATAAAAAGGCTATGCGTTATATTGGTTGACACAGAATGCTTTCAATTGACTGTAGAAGTTTTTTTAACTTTTGTTTGCATTTAGTTGTATTTTGTTAACAATAGAAAAAAAAAATGTTTTTTTTATGGATTTCAACAAACAGCCTGTGTTGTGGCCATGAATAGTCTCCTTCACTTTTTTTTGTGCCATCTTGAAAGGTAGCAATGCCTTGTTATCGAAGCGAGACAACTGTTTTTTTTGCAATGGTAGTTTTTTGTGAATAATTGTCTGTAGGTGTGAAAGAAGGTTTCTTTTTTTGCACGCTCAACAGTCGTCTCGCTTTGATGCAAAGGCACCAGCTCCCTTTTCTTTTTTTAGCAGGGAACCATGAAAAAGACTATTGTTTGTAATCAAATTACAATCACCCTTTTTTTATGTAGATTGGTTGAAACCTTGTCAGTTAAAATTTGTAGTGTTTCTTGTTTTTTTTTTCCCTTACATGGACTGGAATAAAAACTCCAGAAAGCCTTTATGCCAGGGCAGGGCATTCGGCATTATTATTGCAGCAAGGTGAAGACACCCAGGAAGAAATAGTCATTTTTGGTGGTGGTGATAACTTAGGGGAATTTTTCAATGACTTCACAAGCTTCAGTCCTCAGGAACTAGATTAAAAGTATTATACTCAAGACTAGTAAATTGTTTGTATGTGTGCTTAACTTTTTTTTACTATGTAAAGGGCCATGCTCCACCAGCATTCAATGCAGTCGTCTTCTAAGACTTTTCATAATATTATCGAAAATGAGCTGACTTCAATATCCATTCACAATCCATTGTTTTTTTTCGGTTTTAAGGAAGAATCTTACAATATCTCCATTTATATACATGTAGGTTGATGGGATAATAATGTAAAGAGTACGACTTTGCTTATACACCCTTTTAATAAGTCCCCTTTTTTTGATTTTTCCGCACTTGACGTCAAATTTATTCTTTTGAAATTTTGACAACACAAAAGGAATTCAAAAGAATAAATTTGACGTCAAGTGCGGAGAACACAATACCTTGGGACTTATTAAAAGGGTGTATATTATGTTACGATGTAGTTTTATTTTCAAACATGAACAAATTTTTTTAAGGGATGCTGGTGAACCATGTCTCTTTAAAAGTTCAGGGTATTTTAGTAGTTTTTTTTTGTTTTCTTTTTAAACTGTCAAAAACATATAAAATGTAACCTTGGTGTGTTTTTTTTGTTCTTAAAATAAAAAAGGAAAAAAATATGTTTTTGCAATACCATTGTGGTTTTTTTTTAGCACTAGCCTCTTCCACAGACAACATTATATCCAATTTTGAGTTCTGGTTTGCTCTGTGTTAGCCTCAAAACCAAGCAACATTCATTCCTTTCATTGTCAAGCTGAGTTTTTTTATGGAATTTGTAAAGAAAGACAATTAAATGTATTTGAAATCTCACAAATGGTTTTTTTAGGAATATTTTGCACTACAAATGACGGTAACACAGAGCATTTGAGAATTCGAAACTGGTGTATTGAGAGAGGAAGGAAGCCCAAAGGTGGAAAGAAGAGCAGAAAGGGGTTTTTTTTTTGGAGAAGGCTGATAATTGTCTTAGTTGTAGGTTATTTAAAGAACATGATTTTTTTATAATTACTTTGGAAATATTATAAGAAAGCTTGCCAATAATTTGCTGTAATATTAACTCATGAAATATCACCTGAATATAATAATACCATCCATGAGACAAATGGTACATTTTTTTACTAAGCAACAATCTTGTACCCTGTGTCTTTGAGTTCTTGGCCAAAACTCATTTTTTTTTAACATTACTTCCCAAGATAAAGGCTCAAGTTTACCCTACTTTAACCTCATTTTTTTCAGTTTTTTTTTTTTTTTCAAATGTATTCCAAGATAAATGCATAAATTATTTTTTTTTACTATTTAAATTACTGGACATATTTTTAAATAAAATGTAATATACCAAATGTTTTTTTAAAGCAGAATTCGTATAGTCATTGAAATGTCAGTGATGATTGGGAGAAGTTTTTTCCAGGACCTAAAATAATATTAAGACTGTTTTAGACGACACAACTTTTGCCTACAACCATCGCATTCAACCTGCGTAAGTCATCCGTACAACATGGCTACAACTGTTGTGGGGCTATTAAGCGATTGTTTAAAATCCCTGCTGCAGTTGTAACCATGTTGTAAGGATGACTTACACTGCCAGGTTGCATGCGATGATTCAGGCCCCCACCCCATTTCTATATAAACAGAACTAGATTAGACAGGATTTCATATTCTGCATAGTGCAGTGGTGAGTGTTATAGAGGGATTTTTTTGCTATGCACATCACATAGATTTTATTGTCAGGGTAAAATCCTAAAATCTTTTTTTTTTATCTATGATTCCCTGCACCTGTTATGTCATAACATTATATCTGTGTCAACAATAGTACATTCAACTCAACTGTATATTTAATTTTTGCAAGCTGATTGGCTGATTAGTGTGTGTCAATAAGAGGACAAGCACACTGTGCTGACACCACGTCTTGTGCGCGCTCAATTTTTTTTTAAGACCATGATTTTCACTTATTTTTAGACTAAAATGTGGTAAAAAACAAATTGCACACGGTTTATCGTAGTCCTCTTATTGACACACTCTTGATGTCATAAAATGTTCGTTTTTTTCGTGCCTCAACTTGTTGAGTTTTGAACATTTTATGACGTCAAGAGTGTGTCAATATGAGAACATACAACTGAAAACCTTGCGCAATTTGTTAATTTCTCCATTCTACAATTTTTTTTCATCTTTTGTACTTAAAAAAGATACCTGTCATATAACAGTGTCTAAGAGGGTTGGTGCTACTCCTTGAAATGTCCTGCAATTGAAAAATTGTTTTCAAGAGTTCTTGAAAAACTCTTGATAATGGAGAAAATCTTAAAAATTCCTAGAAAACTCCTCAACCTAATATTTTTTTCATGTCCCAGCTTGTTAGCTTTTGGATTGAAATGTGGCTATTTTTGAAAATCGCCACTTGAAAACTGCAAACATCCAAAAGTAACTCCAAAAATGGTTCAAAATTATTTCTCGAAAATCACATTTTTGAGCTGAAAGTCCTGGAATTTTGTAGTGAAATGTAGCACGTTTTTTTATCTAATGGCAAACCCTGGATTCCCCCTGCATTTCCACAATTTCAAGCACATTTTTTTAAAAAACCATTATATTGTGTTCAACTGTTTTATTTTCATTATTATACAAGTTTTTTTTCAAATTATGTCAGTATGTACATAACAACACCGCTATTGACCAGAGTACAAAAGTTTTTTACAAAAAATATATTGTCATTTAAATACATTGTTATTTACCCCTAATGCATTTTTTTTTCATGTACACACTACCCCTCCATTGGAGAAAAATAAATAACTGTTTACAATTTTTTTTTGTTTATATATTTGGTGTGTCATTAATTGCAATTTAACGAGATAACGTACATTTTTTTTTTCATAACACTGATTAAATGCGAGGTGCATGTCAAGATGTAATGACTTTGTTTTTTTGAAGTTGTTACTTCAAATTTGTCTGTGCATTTTTGTTCCCAAATAGCCTCATTTTTTTAACATTTTGTGTGCTCGAGATGGCAATTTCTTTATTTGACCATTTTTTGTGTTTTCTTAATTGAATGTCAGTGCTACACCTGGACAGACCCTCGCACATAGAAGAATCACAATGAACAACCAGCAAGGCAACTTTTTTTGCTTTAGAATTATGAAGTGCATGTATGTTTTTTTTTTCTGTAGTTTTTGACAATGTTATGCGTAGTAAATATTTTTTTTCTTGATGTTTTTTTCTTGCTGTATTTTCATTATAAATGTGTTATTTCTAAGATTATCACATGTTTTTTTTTTACAAATGACTGTAACTATATTATAACGTCAGTAAGAATGAATGACCATGATTTTTTTTTAATTGGATATTGGTATTGTTAATTTTTGAAGGATTCATTTCTAGAAAACCTTTTTTTACGGAGCTATAACTGATATGGGTCTTGCATTCAATATAATGCTGCAGAAGTATAAATTAATATGCTGCAAGAATGAAGATCATGATTTTTATTTGAAGATGCGGAACTAGAAAAAATTGCAAAAGTCACCAGAAAAATTCAGAAATTATTATAATAGCCAAGTTTGGAGATTTCAGTCAAGTTACTGTCATACACACAAAAAAAATGCAGACAAGGCTCCAGGAAAACAATGGATAATCATAATGTATTTGTTTCTTTCCCCGGAACCGAGTCTATAATTTTTTGTGCAACATAACTGAACCAATTGCAGAAAATTGCAGAAAAATGTTTTGARAAATCACTTTTTTTTAACAGGACTACTAAAGCTTATTCTGAATATTAAATGCGCAGTTCATATTGTTTTTTTTAAAAACCCCAGTACATTAAAATTACAGTGCAGGAATAGTCTCATTCCCAGGATATAAAACATTGGGAATAGCCACGCCAGCCTGCACTGACATTTCTCCCTGGAATTTTAATAATAGTCAATTCAGTTCAAAATGACAGAATAGAAAAGTATGATAAATTGTCAGATTTTTTTGCCAAGCAGTTGTAAAACCAGGGGTAACTCTTCTGAAGACTAAAAACAGGCAAAAGAATTTAACAGTTCCTAATGACTTTCATGACCTACTATGACATTGTTGAAGTCATTTTTTTCCAGAATTCCATAAGTTCCTTCATTGACTCTTCAAATTTGGTCTTCTCCATTTTTTTTTCCTTAGACAACTTCTGTTCTAGCTCTGACGTGCAAGCACTAATGCGATCATTTTTTTCTGATCCTGAGTGTGACGCTGAAGGAAGACATGACATTGCCTCTACTGATGTTTTTTTTTCTGATGTAAACTTGGTAGTCTTGAATATTCCTGATAAAGTCTTATGCCATTTTTTTACAGGCRTGGACAGTGGTTGTCCCATTAGAACATGCTCACTGACTGCTGCATTTTTTTTTAGTCTTGGAAAACAATATGGTATTGTTCCATTGGCTTTGGCATCTGCGATTTTTTTAGGATCTCCTAGTGCAGCCTATTGAGATAAAAACATTTATGACAATCAAATTGAATCCCATTCTAAAGGGTGAACAAAAGTTAGGGCCACATTGAAAAACATTCTGACAGTTATGTTTCCAAGGTGGCTAAAGGCAAAAAAACATGAGATACAAAAACCCTCAACTTCTCTTACAACATTGTTGCTGTTCATAAAAGTCTAAGCCCTGACACCTTTTCACTCAACAAAAAACAGGCCATGACGAAAAATGAGGCCATGAAAAACAAGAAACAATAAAGCATAATTTTTTTAACAGCAACAATGCTGCACAACAAATTTATTTTAATTTTTAAATTTTTTTTTTTTTTTTTTTAAATTTATTTTTAATAATCTTATTTAGTCGATTTTCACATTGCAGTCTTTTTTTATCACTAACAAAATGTTTTGTCCACTTTCTCTTGTAATGTAAATTGTCCTAATTGTTTTAATAATCTTCAAACAGATAGAAAGTTGATATGCAGGAGAAGGTTCTGAAAGTTGTAGTAAAACAACGCCATAATACATATTGCCTATTTCTCATCCTTAAACTATCATTTTTTTTACATGTATGTAGCACTAGGGACCAATATAGCACACTAAGTGTACATCTTTGTTTTTTTAGTCCTAATCTACTGGTTTGTGTTGCTCTTCCTCCCCACAACTGGCCTTATAACTTAAAGTCTTTAAATAACACATTAGACATACCTTATCACAGACCATATCACATAATTTTTTTAACTGTGCACCGACTCCTTCAGCAGGCTTATTAATAGTTGCTATTAGAGGTTTTGGGTAGAACTGTATTGTTTGGATCAAATATCTGAAACAATGATAGCATACAGTTATTTTTTTCCACAAATACATTGACATACTGCAGTAAGGTTAAACACTACACAAGTGGGTTTTTTTTACTGTTTCTGATAATGATAGAAGTAAATGTATAGTTTAATAAAAAGGACTATTTTTTTACAGCTTTAGTATTCAGGTATACCAATAATAGAGCAAGATAAAAATGAATTTCTTAGCATAATTCAACACTCTTTTCTGATATTTCTGCAACAAATTTTGGTGTTTACATTCTCAGATGTTGAGTTTAATTTGGGATTAACTTGCACAAGCATATCTTGTACAAGTGTTTTTTTTGAAAGAAATTTTACTGTTGTTATAATTGCAGTCAAACTCTTTCAAGTATAGAAGGTAAACTATTTATCTTGAGTTCCAAATACATGGAACTTACATAATTTGTTGAAACAAAAAAGCAGCCTGTTCAACTGATAAAAACAGCAAAGAAAAAAAAACATTATTGGAGTTTGGAAAGCAGCAATGTTGTATTTTTTCTGAAGCTTTGAATATTTAAAGCTCATGATTTTTTTTTTTGCTGTAACTTAAGATTTCATATGCTTGAAAGTTACTGGCAAGATTACTTTTTTTTATAGACAAAATAATATTCAACAGAAAATCAACAGAAAAAGAGACAAAATATTTTTTTTCTATTCTTGGTTATATTCAATACGAGCATTGAGAGAATATTAGTGATTGTATTTTTTTGAATACAACACAAATAAAACAAACCAAAAAAAAAAAATGAAAACAAAAAAATTTTTTTGAGTCATAGTGAGTCCTCATTGAGATGTACATAAACTAAACTACTTTCAACTTTTTTTTTAACAGTGATTAATAGTCAGTTAGTGGTATAACTTCAAGATCAATTATATTTTTTTTGTATCACCTGCATTTGAAACAAAAAGGACTACAAGGAGAAATTTAATAATATTTTTTTTCTATTGAATGACTGAAATTTGTCAGTACCAAAAATGCATACTGAACTGAACTTGCTGTGTGAATATTTTAAAGCATGATGAGTTGTTATGATCACACATGCAAAAGCTTTAGCTATAATATAAAAGTTTGGAAGTTGTTAAAGATTTTATGATGACTGCAAACAATATAAAATAGATAGTGTACTTTTTGTAAGGCAAAATTGAAATACTTCATGCTACATGTGTTTTTTTTTTTGTTTTTAAATTATCCCTTTTGACACACTAAAGACCAAGACTCTCAATGATACATGTTTCGTCTATTAGACCTTTTCAATCATTGTTAAGTTACACAGATGACTATTTTTTTTATATACCATCAACTTCAAAGAACACTCCAGATTCCTATAAATGTACCCTATTCTTTGATAAATTTAAGGCTAAACCATTAAGCAAAGATTTGATCTCAGTCTTTACTTATTTTTTTCAGCCTTTACTTGCTATTAGAATGATATTATGTCTACCACAATATGAAAGTTTTTTTTTAATTGGTACTACATGTTGGTGATAAACAACAAAGGAAAACAAATTAGTCTTTTTTTTTTAGCCTGATTCAAAATCACTCTAGTATTCTAAAAGTAACATTTGTACCTTATTTTGTCCACATCCTTTCTGTAATTCTTGACTTCTCCTTCTAATGGTACAGTCACAATTGTCTCTAAGTCCACACCACAAAAAACCTCATCCCCAAGTCCACTGATGACCACAGTATCGCAAGGATCAACTGCAGCTTCTTCTAATGCAAGTGTTAATGAATCTATAATTCTTAGATTAACTCTCATTTGTTTTCCTGATGAACGACTAACAGTTATGTGAATGCAGTCTTTCAATTTCTGCACAGAAACTTCTTTGCAAACAAATTCCCGGTCAATGTTGCACTCCTGAGGTTTTCGCCCTCGCTTCTTAGGTTTCACTACTGGGCTGGTGTGAGCAGAATCACTTTTTTTTTAAATATCATCCGCATCAGAGATTAAGTCATCATCATCATCATCATCATAGATTTTTTTCTTTTCTGACATGCAGACTGCATCGTTCTCTGCTCTTATTATACTACAATTAACTTTATCCAAGTTATCGTGATAATAGGCCTTGAACACTAGTCTATTAATTCCACAAAGGTCCTGACATTCATGGCCAAGAAAAGCCTTCAAGTCCAGATCATAATCTGAAGCCTTTTTTTTAGATGTCCAACAACTAGTACCATCTTTCCACTGCACAAGGTATTCATAAGAACCTGATGTATTCTGTCTCATACCTAGAACTCTGTCAATTTTATTCCTATGACGTCTTCTTGAATGCAAACTTTCAGAAGTTTCCTTGTCACTAGATTCAACAGTATCTTTCCTGAGTGCATCTACAGATTGTGCAGCTCTCTTGATAGCCTTTTTCTTGAGTTTATTTGCGAGTAGTTTTTCTGTTTTGTTTACCTTCCTAGCTGCAAGTGGTCGCTTGACCAGCTGGTTATTTTTTTTCAACTTTTTAAGCTTTTTCAATTTCTTGAGATGTCCATTAAATTTACTATTTTTTTTGCAATCTTCCTCGTCAGTAAATGAAAATACATCTTTGGATTCAAGCTGTTTTCTCCTCAGTAAATCCAGTTGTGAAGGACGTCCACGTTTTCGTTTTATCACATCTCCGTTCGTGCACTTACGAGAGACCATGTTTGAAAGTTTTGTTTTTGTTAGTTGATTCYCCGTTTTTTTCAAATTACTTAAATGTTCTTCATGGGATTGATATAAAGCTTGTTCATGCAAAGACTTTAACAACGGCCGCACCCAAGGTTTTCTAACGCCATTCTTTGTGGAAAGGTCGTGACTAAAACCGCCGTCCTTCTTTGACAAAGATGAATGTTTTGCCTTTGGAGGCCGTCTTTTTTTCTTTGGYGAGCACTCGCTACTGCTATCGTCGCTACTTACGCCCTGAAGAAAGTTTGCTGTTCGAAGGCCGTTGAGCAATTTTCTCTTTTTCTTCTTTGGTTTCAAGTTGGGTGACGTTAGACATGCATTCGTGGCACTCACAAAACAGTCGCCATGTGGCGAACCAACGTCCATACTTCCATTTCTCTTTCCTCGAGCTTTCTTGTTCGAATTTTGAGCATTTTTAGGAGTTCGTCCTCTTTTCCGAGGAGTTTCCCCACCTGAGCTTTCGGTGTCCGAGCGAGAAGTATAAAGATTTCTTTTCAAGTTCGCTGGAATAGTCCTCGAAGGACTCGACCTCGTTTTTTTCTTCGTTGCCTCAGTGGCGTCTAATGTCGAATCTCCATTTTCATGTACAACTTTTTTTGTATCAACCTCACACAGCGACTTACTGCTACTCCTTCGTTTAATAACTTTTTCTGCTTTCTTTTTGAGCGGCTCAGTTCGACCGTTTTTGCATATTTTTCGTTTGCTTGTTTTTTTACACGTACTGCTTCTTTCACCAGATGTCTCTTGTTCGTCCTTTCTCGACCGTTTTTTTTTTCGATTGAGGGTTGTCTCGCTCTCAGAATCCGTCTCCTGATAACGAGCCGGGAGTTTAGAGGTCCTTCCACCATGAGTTACAACCCCATCCTTAATCTTGCGAAATCCATTGACTAAGCTACGTTTTCTTGGCTCATTCTTTGCTTGGTGCTCGGGCGGCCATTTTTTTTTTGTCAAACAATTGTTTTCACAGTCTAATTCTTGCGAAGCCTCTTGTTTCATATTTTTTTAGTTTGAGTCGTCCAAAAGTAGCTTCTCTCCTTCCTTCTCAGCCTCGTGACCAGCTGTAGAGTCACTTTCTTTCATCCTAAGTCTCCAACATCAGAAAATCTTCACCAAAACAGAGATCTAAAGGCAAATTAAAACCTTTATTTTATTATGAATGGTGCACGCTATACGAGTTGTTTGAGCGCGTGCGCCACTATTTAAACTCCGGGCATGTAAAAGCGCGCAATTTTTTTTACACATRTTAAGCTCAAAGAAAATTTATTTCTCAACGCTTTCCCAATAAATATTAGAATATTATTAATAAAAAAGTATTTACCTTTACAATATTTGTGACAAGAGGCATTTCTTTGCTGTGTTCTTATGAGAATTAACCAAGGCAACGCCATTTTGTATGGYCCGACTTTTTTTGTGCCAAACAGATGAAAACATGAAGCTGAAAATTTCATTTCATTTGATCCGTTTTTTTCCATTGTCTCCTTSGCTTTAAAAACTACAAAAGAAAAGAAATATAAACAGTTTTTTTTGTAACTGAATCGTGTTGTGAGGCACTACCAGTTGCCTTCACGCTCCTTTCTTTTTTTTCAACCGGTYRCCGAACTTCGAAATGATACACTCCCACAGTTAGTGAAAAACTTTTTTTTGTTGTTCGTTGACTTTGGCATTTAAATATCTAATAAAATATAGAAAAAACTTTTTTTCTGATAGCCACAATCCATCCCGCGATCTAGGGATATAATTTTTCTACTTTCTTTTTTTGTTTTCCGGTCTAAGTAGTTTTTRGCAATACGATGGATAATATATATCCATTTTTTTTCCCAAAATAACCCCCATGAATCAGACAGAACAGTTTTTTCCTTGAATGAGTTTTTTTTGCTTGGTGTGCGGACCGAGTGGCGACTGGGATAGGTCTGCGTAGGCGGAAACGTTAGGTGCGCGCGCATGTCGGCGCAACATTCAAATTAAATTGCTTCCGAAAAAAAATTTTTTTTAACAGTCMATTCATGGCCTTTACCAATTAGACCTTCGATTTACATCATTAACAAAGATAAGTGGATCCAAAAAGTTGATGGTGAGATTAAAATAAGTGTTTTCACAGTTATTTGTTTACACGTTATGGTGTTATGACAGTTCAATTCATAAAATCTATTAGGATCATTTTTTTGAGTCAGTAAGGTACCTACTGGAATCTATATTAAAAGATAAAGTCTCCTACTTTTTTTGTCTTCATGGACGACAAAATCTTTGGATCGATCTCTACGGTTGCCTAGTCATTTTTTTTGTTGAGAGAGCTTCAGATATCGCGATAAACATATTTGGCAAGGTAATGATTTCGACGCAGAAACGAGAAAAAATAATAAATAACGTACTAAGCGAGTCTGAATTTGCATTTTTTTTCTAATGGGGGAAGKGTATGAATTGAAAGTGGACACGTTTACATTTCGCTGTTTTTTTGATGARTTATTTTCGAGAGTATATTATTTTCGGTTGAAATGATCATTGGTCCTTCTGGCTTGTTTCAGGACCCAATTTAATCTAGAATCATCCAGTTGAATTATAGCAATTTTTTTTACTTTTTTATATATGATAATTATTCTTAGCGTTTTCACTTTTATTTCTAGTTTTTTTACGCTAAAATTATTAGTCCTAAAACCCTTCAGAAATTATGTCACATTGTCCTTTTTTTTGAATCCACTGCYGTTGCCAAGAGAAACCAGAGTTTCAGTAGAGCGGCTGCTTTTTTTCTTGGAGTAGCGAAAACCATGGATTACAACTTTGAAGTGAATATTTTGTACTCCATATGCCTAAACGAAGATGAAAAACTTGAACGCCTGCTGCAGGAAGATGATAGCGTTTTTTTATTCGTCTTTACTCGCTTCAAGGGAATGACTCCCCTCCATCTATCTGTGATTTTTTTTAACAACAAGTCACTTAGAGTTTTATTAAACATTGTAGATAAAAAACTAATCTTTTTTTAAGATTTTTATGGCGTAGCGCCACTTCATTATGCTGTCCTTCAGGCAAATGTGATGTCAACACAGTTGTTGCTTCAGAGTGGTGCAAATGTCAACGTAAAACTTCAAAGTTTTTTTACAGCTCTGCATATGGCTGCTTTCAAAGTCTATCCAGACCTAATATTTCTTTTTTTTTATCACGGCGCTGATGTGCACAGCACGGACTTAGACGGCGATACCCCATTATTTTTTTTCTCTCGTTGCGGACGAGATCTGCGAGAGCGAATTGGCGCTCATTGCACGGCAATATCCTTACTGCTACGCTATGGTTCTTCTCCGAACGTTCAAAATCGCAAAAAAGAATTTTTTTTACATAACGTAAAATCTTATTGCACCGACACAAACTGTGCACACTTCTTAATACTTGCGGGAGCAAAGCTAGACGTGGGAATTCCCAGATCTAGAGAGATTTCCCAGTTTTTGAAGAAAATTCGTAGGAACTTGCCGCTGCGTTTGGTGGTAGTCAGTTCAATCGCTGTTAGAAAATCTTTGGGAGCCGGTTTTGGGAGCAAAGTTAAACGGCTCCAGTTGCCGCGTGAAATAGAAATGATTTTGCTATTTCAAAAGCTAGCAAAACTGTTTTGAGAAATATATGACATCGAGAGATGAATAAATAAGACTACTTTACCTTTTCTAGTTATAGTCAAAGTATTTTTTTAAACTCGATCAGCTAGAAATTTCTTTCTTCTGGCTTTGCGGACATGTCACTTTCAAATCATTGTGACATTTGTGGTAAAATTTGTCATTTCAATTTTGTAATAGCAAAATTTTTTTAACGACGTGTAGAAGCGATTGAGTTATTCTCAACCCTCTTGACAAAACGCTTTTTTTTTAAACCGACCCGTCTCCAAGCTAAATCAAATGCTTACTCTGGCGACTCTCAAACCATGCTTTTAATCCTTTTTGGATGTAAATATGCGTGTTTTCGAAACAGGAGACCATAGGTCGAGTCTAAAATACTCTGTATATTTTCGTCGACTGAGAAAGTCAGAATTTTTAAATTCATACTTAAAAGTTTGAAGGCAATAATTTGACGCTATAAATCTTAATGTTGTCGTTTTTTTCTTGGGCTCGGTGTCAAAAGGTTTGTCTTTAGCTCAGTAGCATTATTTTGCCCCAACTAATTCATCAGTCGTCGAGTTAACTTTCTTTTAAATCCGATTTATTAATCCTGACACGCGCAGGGAACTGACAACAACCAGTAAAMGTTTCTAAATACCTCAAGACGTTTTTTTTTTTAGTTGTAAGAGTTCAGCGGCTTTTTTGCGCATGCACGAGTATGTATAGTGTTTTTTTGTCTAAATGGTATATGAGAAGAACTGCCTTACGTCCAGCGGTACATTAACCTTTTTTTGCCACTCAAAGTTGTTACTAGTACAATCGTTTATCATTATTGCAAGCCTGGTTGTGTTTCACTCTATAGATTTTGTATGGAGTTTTATCCTCTGGGTAAGGATTTATCCTTTTTTTTATTCACACTTCGTACAACCGGGGTATTGATCTTTGGAGACGCAAGTGCAATTTTTTTGAAGCAAAAACACAAAAAGTTCTTAAACCGCGACTAGCTAAAAGCTTTTTTTTTTTTTATGATACGTGACTGTGCTTTTTTCAATTTTTTTATCTATCATAAGGGATAATTTTTTTAGCTCGACGACACTGCAAAGGTMGTTTATAAACAGGGACTTACTAGTTGCATTTTTTTCTTTCTTTTCTTTTGTTCTTTGGCTTCTGCTTCTGTTGATATCGTAGTGTGTTTTTTTCCTTAGTATTAATAAAATAAGGCAAACAAATAAATAAATAAACATATAAATTTTTTTTTTGCAGGTGCAAGATCGGCAGATTGCATGCCGGTTCTACACGTGTACGGTTTTTTTTTTCGAACGAATCACTTCTGACAGTTCGATATATGTCAGGAGGAGCCGGAACGTTTTTTTGGTTTTAAGGTTCATATAACGTTTTTTATAGTCAAAAACGCTCGCCTTATATTTTTTTTAGTTCTTATTTTGGAAAATATTACTTTCCTGGAAAAAATTCTTGGAAAAATTTTTTTCCGCAACAAAAGTATTCCTTGCTGGAGAGTTTTCCCGAGTCAGTCTCGCTGTTTTTTTGTTGTGACGTATTACAGCTGCCTGGGACATAAGAACAGATATATTTCTCCCTTTTTTTCACGTCGGCTTCTCCTAATATGTCTGACTCAATTATGTTTCCTATGTATTGTTTTTTTTCCAAATGAACAACACTCTTGCACTTCACTTACTCCACTAATACTGAATAATTTTTTTACAATCAAGCTTTTTATTGGATAATTATAGAGACACGCAAAGAACTACACATTTTTTTAATTATTCAAATGCTGAATAAATTCATGAATATTGACAAGCACTACTTAGATTTTTTTACAAGAGTGAAAACGAAGGCTGTCTATATATTGAATGATTTTTTGACATGATTTTTTTACGAACTCGTAACAATGAACTGGTAACGACCTCGAAGAAGAAAGAATCTTTTTTTTTTTTTCCTCTCTTCAATTAAGGCCGAAACACTATTGCGTTGCGAGGCCATACCTTTTTTTACTTAAAAGTA